TCACTAGAGTTTCAATAGAACACTTACCTGACACATTAATGGAACTTATTCGACCACTAAATGTCGGACGCATAGCTACCTCGGCTGCTTCATCAACACAACTGATACTCGGATTAGAACAAAACTAAAAAGAAAGTGAGATTAAAAGCAAAACCATCGGTCATTTCATTAGATTAGCAGGCATACTTTTGCAGATGCTTTTCCCAGTAAAGCTGTTGCCAATCAGCTGGTAGTTTCACACGGTCAATGAGCTCAGGCCACCGCAGCTTAAACAACACCTTCCAAGAATTACCGAGTACATCATATCTGCAGTTTAATCTTTCTCAGTTCAAATAACAAAAAAAAAAAATGAAAAATCAAAGAAGGCTTGATCTAACCTTGCACGTTTTCTTCCACTAATCAAGCAATCATCACCAGATTCATAATCATCCCAACACTTGAACGGCCTATACCAATTCTCCAGGGCAAAACAAATAAATGTAAATCAAATATGAATCTTGTATCCATCCAATTCATAACCCCAAACCTTCAAATTCCAGTCATAAGAACATAACCAAAGACTCAAGTACTGACATGTGAGTCTGAAAATTCTGCAACGCTAGTGCAGGCAAGTGAGCAATAAGAGCATCAAGCAACTCCGATGGAAGCTCGTATAAATCTGGAATCGGATTATCGCCTGAGAATACACCACACACAAAAAAAAACCAATTCAAATCAGCAGATTTTGAATCAATTTGGCGCAAGAGAAGCTGAGAATTTTTTCGAATATGTATCTACAAATTACCTTGTAAGAGCTGAAATTTGATGGATTTGATGCAGAGAAACGCAAGAGTCGGAGATTTCTTCATCCTAAAAAAATCGATAGAGTCGGAGAGTTCAAAACCTCTGTGTTGTGTTTCTACGAAAGAGACGAAGAAGAACATAATTCAATTCTCCTTGTAATGGGCTGATTAGTTATGGCCCCATTATTTAAAAAAAAAACAAAATATATTTCTCTTTAATTTTTTTTTTGTCAATTAAACCATTTTTTTTTATTTACTGTCTTCTAAAATAAAATGAGAAATTGATCTCTAGTTAAATCGAAAAGTATATAAATCACTTCGAAGACTTTAAAAACGTAACCATCGCGAAAAGAAAACTAATGCATGAAAGACATTTTTCTTTAGTAAACAGTATATATATATGACTATATTCAAACCAAATCAATAAAGAAAACATTTTCTAAAATGGCATTTTTGAAATTTCTCCATTCAAACAAACAAAAATATCTACGATCATGTAAAATCATTAGTCATTACACACATTTTATTTACACACACAAAAAAAAAGAGAGTAAAACAAAATTATCAAAAAATTGTTATAAAAAAAACTTCCAATAATAAACATCAATTTGGTAAAATATTCACAAAAGCTAAACAAATTAATTAATCATCAAACGATAACATAGGAAGCGACAGACGAGACGACCTTTGAAAAAAGCTTCAAATTCTCTCTCCCTTATCCATCACTTATAGAGCTTTTTGTTCTTGTTCAATTTCTGAGAAAAACAAAAACAAAAATGCGACGTAATTGTTGTCATGTTTCGTTTGCTTCAACCCTCAAGATCCTCAATTTTGTTCAAGCTTTCTTCGGTGTTTCGATCATAATCTACTCCATATGGATGCTCGATCAATACAACCATCATCACGCACCCGTCGATCCTCCACCGGCTGCTTTTTTGCCGGATTCATCGAGCTCCGGAGTCGCGATCGGTAGAGTCTCTGAGCCCTTGAAGAATCCGATTGATTCCATGGCGAGTATCATTCTAGGGTCTAATGGTGATCATGGGTTTAACCTCCGTTCGTTGGATCTTCCTGCTCCATGGTATAATCTCAATTTAGGGTTTCACTTAGTTTCCAATTTTAGGGCTTTTTTTTGCTTTAAAGTCTTCAATTTTTAGGGTTTCAATTTGATTTGTGCTAATTCACCTGGATCTTTGTGTGGAGTGGACTCGGTAGTTTCATAAATTGAGTGTTTGAATCTGGGCAATAGCTTGTAGTTCTTCAATTTGAAGCTTGGTATTTTTACTTCTTAAGTAGATAAAAGGAAAAGAGCAAAGCTTTTAAATGTTTGAAGATGACTGGTTTTAGCTCATTTACAGTTTGATGCTGTTTCTTAGGATAATTCAGGTTTCATGACTTGTTGTCGTGCTTGTTTGATGCAGGTTCATCTACTCTTTTATGGCGGTTGGTGTTTTGGTCTGCATTGTTACCATTATTGGTTTCATAGCAGCTGAAGCTATCAATGGATGTTGCTTGTGTTTCGTATCCTTATACATAGACCTTCACTTTTACTATCTCTGTTAATAGATTGAGTTTGTTGATGACAGTTGTTATTGGAATCGGTTGATTTTGTTTACCCCTTGACGGTTTTAAAGTACTCTATTCTCAAAACACTGCTCATTCTACTTGAAGCTGCCCTTGTTGCATACATCGCTATTGACCGTCACTGGGAAAAGGTAAGATCTTTCGTACGTTCGAATCTTGTTTCTTGTGTTCTTGACTTGTTTGTAACGGTTTAGAATCTGTGTTCTGTAGGATCTTCCGTATGATCCAACTGGAGAACTCAATAGCCTTCGAACTTTCATTGAAGAAAACATCGATATATGCAAATGGGTCGGGATTGCTGTGGTAGCGGTCCAGGTAAACTCAAATCAGTCTATTTTAACTTTCATTGAATCTTTCTTTGTGTTTGATAAATGTGCGACTCTTGTTTTTCAGCTATTGTCGTTGCTACTAGCCATGGTTCTCAGAGCTATGGTTTCAACCCCGACACCTGATCCTGACGAAGAGGAAGATTATGAGAACCCGAGGAGTAGAGCTAGGGACCCACTTCTTGGTTCGCAAGGAAACCAAGCTCCTGGGTCAAGCAAGATTGAAAGCTGGAGTTCCCGAATCAGAGAAAAGGTAACACTGATCATTCCATTTTCCATGATACTTTACAGATCAGACGAGGCTTTGTGAGTCTAGTGTTAATAAAAACGGTTTTTTTGTGAAATTTTCTTTTCGCAGTATGGTTTGAACCAGAGTCAGGCGGTTAACCCGAAAGGCTGATGAAGCGAGATAAAACATGTTTCTGTAACTGAATGCGTCCATATGGTCTCTGTGTAGCTCTCTTTTTCTCTATGTTTTTACTCTTTTGTAACTTATTGAGTGTGCATATAAACATTTACCCAAAACGGTGTAAGCATATTTTCATTTGTGTGTTTGCTTTGTACAAACCTATATGAAGTTTGAAATTAGCATTTCCACTATTAGTTTACCAATTTTTGGCTGGTTTCTATTCAAATCTAAATTGGGCAATGGAAAAAGACAAATGTAAATGTATATATTTGATTAAGCTATTCAGAAGT